TTAAAGTGTAATAATTGTATTATTTAAAAAACTGAATCCCTAAAAAACTATTATTTTAAAAGGGAAGGAGTATTATAATATACAAATAAATAACACAAACAAGATTTGTAGCAAATTGATTTTTGGACCACCTGTTGGTCAATAGAGCAGTTTTTTTCAGATGGTAGGTCGATCGAGCAGTTGGTTGAATTATATCACAACTTTGACCTCGTTTGGCAAGAGGCTATTTTAGTCAATTAGTCAAAAAGTTACTAAATTAGTCAAAAAGCCAACAACCCATACCAAAAAGTCAAAAATTCTCTTTTCTCTCTACTTTTTGCACATCTTTTCGTAATTAGTCAAAAAGTCATCCCAAACATACAAGTTTTTTTTACCTACCTTTTTAACTAAATAGCCAAAAAATTACTAAATTAGTCTGTTCCCAAACGAGGCCAAGTCTCATTTGAGTACCTCAATGTACTTGATGAAATTTTAAATTTTGAAAATTTTTATTATACACACTTGTTTCAAAGAGTGTATTATGGGACAATTTGAGAAGTTAATTTTTAATTTATTTTGGATTATATTACCTTTTATATTTTTTACATATAAAAGGACAAAAAAAATAAATAAATAAATAAAGTCAATTTTTAACCAACTTTCCAAATCGTCCCATATATGCATAATTAAATATGTCATTTCATTATTTAGTTATGATTAATTTTATTCTTTAGTTATAATATTATTTTAGTTATAACTCATGAAATCTTTAGTTATACTTCATTTAGTTGTTGGTTATAATTTTTTTTTTTAATTATGACTCAAAAAATAAAAAATTATAACATCTTATTATCCAACTATAAAATATATATAGTGCCCCCTTTAAAAGGCATCTACATCATATTTCTCTAAAGTTTTTTTCTGACGTGTTGTTGTCCTCTAGTTGACTATTATTTATTATTTATTTATTTAAGTTGGTCGTAGCTAGACACGTTAAGTTGTTTCCCGTCCTTCTACCTAAATCATATGAAATTCTTAAAAGAGGTATTCAAATATTCTATGAAAATAAAATTGTTATATTAGTCCCATGCATTTTGAATGTTAGACCTAAATCATCTTAAAGTCTTAAAAGAAGTATTCAAATATTATAAAAGATAAAATTGTTATATTTTTTTTAACCTGCATGCTTTTTGAATGTTAAAATGAGACTAGTGTTTGAGTTTTATTTATTTATTTATTTTTCAAATTAGTCGCAAGGATGAGTTTGGTTATAAATTTTTTATATTTTTCAAATTATAACATGACTAGTTGAAAATTGTTGAAACTTTCATTTGGCAATGAAATTTATGTTGAGCCAAATTGTACTACAATTTGAATAAAGTTTCAATGAATGTTGAAAATTTCAGTTAATGGGCAAATAAGCTTAAATGAAATGAGTTGTGAATAAATATATATATGAATAAAACCATGTAAAACATAAGAGAGACATATAGTGGCATTTGTGCAAAATGCGGCAATTGGCCATAATTTGTCGCTAAAGACTGTGCAACAATGTTTTAGAAAACTTCTAATTTTCACCAGACAAGTTGAATAATTTTCAAACACTTAATAAAAATAAATAAATAAGAAAAAGAAAAAGTGAACACGTCTATTATCAGGACGGACCAAAAAATTTTATATGAGGGAGCAAACATGTATATGTTAACAATAGTTTTAAAAGAAAGTGTCAATTATAATTATTAATTTCTATTAATATGAAAAATGAAAAAAAGATGAATATATATAGCATATTTTTTATTTTTTATATTAACATTTAGTTATAAAATATAACTATTATAAAACAATCAACATATTAAAGTGAGACATCTTGTTATTTCGATTGGCCAGAACTCTTGCACCTCATTAGGAGGTCAGTTGTTCGACTCTTTACATCTACGTATGAGTCTTATTTTTCATATATTAATTGGGATACTTTGATTTGTTGTGATTGATACTCTTTTATATCATTAAAAATGTCTATCGTAGAATCGACATTAAAATTTTGTACAATGTATTTCTCAATGGAATTTGTAATTAATATTAAAAGAAAAACCTAGAAGGGGCGAACTTCTATAATTAGTAGATAATTATAACTAATATTACTATAATTATAACTACTACTTAATCCCTCTAAGTCCATCTTTGCGTTTATATATGGGGATAAACTCCCTCCGTAGTTGCTTCTTTCCATACTCTTCCATACTTCTTTTTTAAGCCCAAATTTGAATTCACATTATTGATTCGAACCATTTTCTTTGTAGATCTCATAATAAAAGTCATCTATGCAAAAAATCAATTTCATCGAACATCTATGCATACAAGAACAAATAACATTTTATTTTCTAAAATGAATAGCAAACAGGATTGTAAACTTAAACAATTTATTTTGTAAAACAAAACGTGATTTGTTTTTGTATTTATAATTGTCTGATAAATCTAATTTTTTATATGGATAACATTTACTATAAAACTTATAAAACAGATAGTTTGAATCATCAAAGTGAGTTTAAATTAAAACTCACAAAAAAAATATGAATAAGTATAAAAAGATAAAATATGAAAAGGAGCTTATCTTATATATATGGTCTTGGTTTGGGGTGTCCTAAAAAAGTGCACTTTTTGTCTTTTTACGAAAAGATGTGCAGAAAAGTAGAGAGGTGATGTGATGGAAAAAAGATAAAAAGATGGATTATATAGTAGATGTCAAACCAAGCCACAGAAAAAATATGAATAAGTATAAAAAGATAAAATATGAAAAGGAGCTTATCTTATATATATGGTCCATATTTGTATATATGGCCAGAATTAACACCCAAACGCTGTAGGCAAATTATTGTTTTCAGATCATGGTCATCTCATAAATTTCCTAGAATGGCCACCTTCTGTGGTGTCAAGGACCATATTTAGATTGGATGGTGACTCTCTCTCTCTCTCTCAATATTTAATACTTGAAAATGTTATTAACCAATAAATAATTTTCTCAGGAGTGAGCACTAATTGGTTGAATTATAGTAAAATACAAAAATCGTCTATCTAATCGTATTTTTAATATTTTATTAATAACTAACCGTAAGTATATGATATGACTGTTACACTCAATATTAAAGATTCTCTGAAAACATATTTTGAATTTGGACCCTTGTTTAGGTGTTTGGAGTCGTGGGTGGGATTCAACTTGATTCCTCCGTGGTAGATGTAATTTCTCTTTTGGTAAAATTATAAAACGAATTAACTTATTCAAATTAAACTCATATTATATAAACTCATTTCTTAAATAAGTTAAACTTTAATCTTATGAATTTGAGTCAAACTTGTTAAATTTATGTTGATTATAAAAAAAATAAAAATCAAACCCCAAGCTTACTCAACTCAATTCAATTTGATTAAAGTTCATTCAAAATTGATTTAAAAAATAAATAAATGAAATTTAAATAAATTTTAAAATCAAATTTTAACAACTTATTATTCTCCTCCACTTGTTTAAAGATATTTAACAAACATTCAATGTAGCACCCACATGTTTTGACATCTAGGGGGTCTCGAAACACTTATGACAATGATATGATATGAAATTCAAATCACCTACAGATAGCTTTAATTCAAATCTAGGGAAAAAAGAGGATCTAGTCCTATTGACTAGACTGAAAGAGCCAAGCAAGTCTAAATTCTTTAAATTTTAATATATATTTTTTACCGTTGAATATTTGAGTTAATTTATCTGCATCTCGACTAATCAAATTCAAAAGTTAACAATTAAATAAACCTCGAGTGACCTAATGTTTGAAATGTTTGGTTTTGTGGTTCAATCATATGAGCTCTTAAATGCGACTTTTGATTGTCTCTAATATCACTAACTTTAATTTATTGTAGTGTTATTAGAGGTGGGTGTAGGTCAGTTGCGGCTACGGAACTTTCAATCCGTCATCTGTTCGCTAGATTGACGGATTGGAGAAAATCAATCCGCATCCATCCGCCAATCCGGCGGATGTCGATTGAGCGGATTGGCGGTCTGATGGATAGATGCGAATCGGTTTGGTGGTTTAAAATTTTATAAATTTTCAACGTAATTCAACTTGTGCACATCCTTAAAAAAAAAAAGAAAAAAAAAGAAAGTATTACAGTCAATGACTAAAACAAATATTACAATCACTGCATGCCTCATCGAAAATAAGAAAGTTTGAAACTTTAGAATGTCACAATCACAGCATGCTTCATCCACATAAAGTATTACAATCTGTGGTTCTTAAAATATAAAAACAATTCAAACCACCAAAACCATAAACAGAGCAGTACTGGAGATTGTATGTCTCTGTATTGTTACATCTATATTTGTTTTTGAAAACAAAAATCAACCAGCATATATCATATTTTCTATTTATTTTTTTTAGAGATAAATTTAAAAACTAAAAAATATAGATAAATAATACGTTTATTTTTTTCAATTCAAAAAAGATATTCAAATTGACAACTTTTTTTCTACAGAATATTTAAACTCTTTTTTAATTGAAAACACAAACAGAATATTTAAACAAACTGAAAACACAGTCTTATAAATTACTAGGGGTGCTCGCGGTTTGGCGGGTCGGTTGCGGCCAAAGTAATCTCAAATCCACCATCCGTCTGCCAGATTAGCGGATTGGAAAAAATCAATCCGCAACCGTCCGCTCGTCATCACGCATCCGTCCAAAATGCGGCGGATCAATTCGGTTCGGTCGATTTTGACAGATCGATATATCCGCTGCTCACCCCTAAATGTTATTATTTGCAATTTTCCCTATTTCAGCGTTGATTATTATAATCTATGCATACTTCATTATTTTTTACTGTTGAATTAATTACGTACGTATTTATTTTCTCATGGGGCGTGCTTGACTTTTTATTTTTATTTTTTTCTTTTATTTTTTCATATATTTTTTTTCTCATCTGCTTTGTTGAAGTTTCCTATCAACCCACTTCTATATAAGAGGCTCATTTAGAACCCAGTTTCTGTAAATCTCCTCTTCACTTTCTTTCTCTTTCTGCAACAAAAGAAAAAAAAGAACAAGGTTGTTCTTGTTCCATTTCATTTGGAAATATATATATATAGAGAGAGAGATGGCTGAGGCATTGACACAAGAACAGATCGCAGAGTTCCAGGAAGCCTTCTGTTTGATTGATAAGGACTCCGATGGTTCGTCCTTCCATGCCTTCTTATACGTACCCCTTTGCATATGCATGAAATAGCGCCGTGATTGGGTGCTTTAGGTATTAGTAGAAAACGGATGCACATACTATGTATTCAGAAAAATATTTTGAAAATTATTTCGAAAATAAAATATATACACTACATCAGGTATTGCACCATTCATTTCAATCTTGGGATATTTTTTGGGAATATTTATTTTTTATTCTTTGCAAACCGAGATCAGTCATGGTGTGCGCACTTTTGGATTGTTCTTGGCTAGTTAGTTTTATTCCTAATATATAGATTTTTTTTTTTTTTTTCCATTATTTGAATCTTTCCATCTTTGAAGATGTGTTAATTAAATTTTTATGATATAGTGCCTTTTTTATTTATATTATAATAAAATTTAATGAATTATAATATTAATAAAATAAATAAATACAATCTATAATTAATATAAAGGAACTTCAAAGTAGGGGATAGAAATCCCAAAAACAAACAGACAAAGACTGTACTAGATGTGCATTTAGTGCAATTTTTTATTTTTATTTTTATTTTTCTCACGAGAATGTATGGAATTTGCTTAAACTAATCTCGGATACATATAGTTCTTTTATCTCACATGGAATTATCAAATTCAAACTCTGGGTACTCTCTAGGAGACTAGGAAATATAACTTTTAACAATATTTTGACGTTCGAACACACAATTTTAAAAGTTGCCCAGATGTTTGAAAATTTAACAAATGGTGTATTATATTACACAGGCTTCATTACAATGGAAGAACTGGCCATGGTGATCCAATCTCTGAATGAACATCCAACAAAGGAAGAGGTTCAAGACATGATAAACGAAGTTGATACTGATGGAAATGGGACCATTGATTTTGATGAATTCTTGAATGTCATGGGGAGAAAATTGAAGGTATATTCCTCGCCCCCGCCCTCCCAAAAAAAAAAAATTTAAATTGTTGTCGTTATTTACTTGATAAATTAATTTGAGTAAATTGCACTCACCTCTTCTAAAATTTTTGACAATTACAAAAACCTTTCTTATAGTTTTAATAATTACATTAATCTCCTTTACTTTGGAAACTATTATCAAGATTCTCCCACTGTTGCCCTCCATACACTATTTAACAAAATTTGTTAATGTCACGCTGATGTCATACCAATAATGACGAAATTACTCCTTACATGCCTTATCTATTATCAAAAACTCATATATATTTTAATATTATTTAATAAAATTCTTAAAATTCATGCAATACTAAATAAAACTCTTAAATTGTTAAAATATTATTAAATCATTTAATGAAAAAAAAAACTTAATTTTTATTGATAAAATACTTAAAAATAAACAATCTCTCTAAAATTCTAATAATTTAATATAAGACTTATTCCACACTACATAAATAACGTAAAATTAATCAATTTAAGTAATGCACTTATTATTTGCATTATTTTTAAAAGTTGAAATAATGGATTTATTTTTTTCGGACAATTTACATTACTTATTTATTCATATGTACAAACATTATTATTTTATCTTTTCTAAATCATATATTATTCTCAAATTTTAATTTTTATCTTTGGGTCATTAAACTTCTAGTCGACACATATTTAAAAAAAAGCAGGTTAATATTTTTACATGATTAAAAAATAAATATAGAAGTAAAAAAAATATAATTACCTTACAATAAATTAAAATTAATTGATAGGGAATGAAGGATCACGAAATCTTAGAATTAATTTGTCACTTTCATTAATGATTATATTTTATTTTATTTTTTTCTATAAAAGTTAAACTTGTGGAAAAAAATAAAGACAATAAATTACATTTATATTTTTTTAAAAAAATATGAAAAACAAATAATAATTTCATATATATTTAATAGGGTAAATTAAATTTAGTGCATTTAAGGTTAAGATTAGTGTTGATAACCTCAAAGGAGGTAAGATTTTTTTTTTGTACTTCTATATTAATTTTTTTAATCATGTAAGAAATATTAATTTAAGTTTTTTTTTTTAAATATGAATCAACTAGAAGTTTAATAAATTTGTACTTCTATATTAATTTTTTTAATCATGTAAGAACTATTAATTTAAGTTTTTTTTAAATATGAATCAACTAGAGGTTTAATAAAGCAAGGATAAAAATTAAAATTTGGAATTAATATTGAGAAAATATAAAATAATGTATATTTTTTACATATGATAAATAAATAATGCAAATTGCTGAGAAAAAAGTTAATGCATTTTTTTCAACTTTAAGAAAAATTAAATAATAATTACATTATTTAAAATGATAAATTTTACGTTACTTATGTAATATGGAATAAATTTTATATTAAATTATTAAAATGTTATCTAACATTAATTTTAGAGAGAAATTTTTTTGGAATTGATTAGTTTTAAAGCTTCGTTCACAGGGGTTTTTGTTAATACACTCTCGTTTTGGTGTAAACAATAAATAAATTACCCTAAAGGTGCAACAATATATCCCATAAACAACTATTAAGGGAAAATATCAATTTAGTGTGAATTGAAAAAAAAATTAAATTAAATCAGTGATAAAATTTATTTTTAAGTATTTTATTAATGAAAATTAAGTTTTTTTATTAAATTATTTTAATAATGTCTTAAAAATTTAGAAATAAATTTTTTTTTTACATATGAATAAATAACTAGAACAAATTGCAGGGGAAAAAAATAATCCATTTGTTTCAACTTAAAAAAAGAAGAAGAAAGAAACAAGAAATTTCAATAATAAACACATTAATTAAATTGATAAATTTTTCATTGTTTATATAGTGTGAAATAAGTGTTATATGTATTATATTATTAGGGTCTTATATTAAATTATTAATATATTATATTAAAAAATATATATATATATATATATGAGTCTTTAATAATATATATGCAAAATCTCAGGAGAGGTGAGCAAAATTTTTCATTTAAATAGTTTATATTGGTTGATTTGATAGTTTTCATCTTTCCGCTTAATTCAAAGGGATAATATGGTCATTTTGAATGGTTAATTAATGTCGTTTGTACTAAATTAATGGAATGGGAGAATCTTAATATTGTTAACAAAAGTAGAAGATATTTCTGTAATTATTGAAATCGGAGGAAAAGTTCATGTATTTGTCAGAAACGTCAAGGAAATAAGTATAATTTACCCAATTAATTTGCTATAAAATATTTACAAGGGAATGTAAATTAACAGGAGAACGTAGCGGAGGAGCTAAAAGAAGCTTTCAAAGTATTTGATAGGGATCAAGATGGATTCATATCAGCCACGGAGGTAAAACCTGATCAATACATTATTATTTTCATGTTTTTTTTATGATTAAATCTATAAACCTATAATATTGTCTCCGATTTGTGCCAATAATTAAATGTGTGTATTTTGAAGTCCATGTTTCCTTGATAAAATTTATGGGTTTATGGCAACATTGGCTTTTTATACTTAAGATCGAAAGATGACTCTGATTTGTAATTTTATCAACATGCTTTATAATGAGAAAATGATATATAAGTCTATTTTTTATGTTTATTTTTTAGACTCAATAATATGTAAGTAATATGATTGGTTAATAATTAGAGAACATATAAAAAAAAAATATTGCCTTAGAAAAAAATGATATGCAAGTATACTTTTCATGCTTATTTTTTAGATTCAATAATATGTAAGTAATATGATTAGTTGATGATTATTAAAAAATATATAAGACAAAATGCCATTTAGATATCTTGATTAATTGTCATATTATTACACTTTAAAAATGAGTTTAATTTTTGAACTTGTATAATAATGCTCTTTATAAGGTGACATTCTTTTTATTGTGGTCCGGGACGAACGAGCTCCATAGGATGCCCCTCATTTTTTGAAAATTAGACTTTTATCTCTAATTATAAAAGTTTTTCATTTAACTCTATTTTAATTTTAAATTTTGTTTCAAAATATTTATATCTCATCTTTCTCTTCTCTTTCTTTTTAATAAATTTATTATAATTCACATTATAAACGTTTAATTTTATCAAAATATTCTCTTATAATTATTTCTATCTCTTTTATTTCTCTTTTGTTTTTCTCCACATCTATCTTCTTCTTCTTCTTCTTCTTCTTCTTCTTCTTCTGTATATTATTACATTTTAAATTGTGATTATCATCCTATTTAGTAACCAAAATAGCAAATAAAAATTAAAACATATTTAAGACACATAAATTTGACATCATGTTGATCTTTGGTCATTCTACCACCAAATGAAAATTGGATTTGGTTATGTTTTGTAATCAATATCATTAAGGATTAATCAAAATCCTCGCTCCGCCATTGATTGTGGTTTATACAGTTTGACATACACCATACTTTTTTAGTCTTTCATGAGCTTGCATTCAATATTATGTGGTGATTTATAATTATTTTACGACTAAATTTTATTTTATTTTTTTTAAAAAAAATTTGTGCAGTTGAGACATGTAATGATAAATTTGGGAGAGAGAATAACAGATGAAGAAGCTGAGCAGATGGTTAGGGAAGCTGATTTGGATGGAGATGGCTTAGTTAGCTATGAAGAATTCGTGAGAATGATGATGGGAGCATGAACAAATAATACAGATTATTATCTCTCTCACATAAATCATATTTTTTGGTTCAAACAAGTAATGTTACTATCTTTTTGTAGCAAACAAATGAAAATGTCAATAATAATCATTGAGAATGTAAATCTTTGCTCCACTTTTTTTCTTGAGATGAATCCGGGATTGTTATTAGTAACAAAACCATTTGTTTGAAATCTGTCCTTCCGCCTAGTTTTCGTATCATTTTGGAATTTCTCTTCACTTTGATTTTTTTTTTCCTCCCGGTTTTGCAATAATTTTATGTTGTATTTGATTTTTATTGTGATGGTAATTTATTGTGTGTAATTGTAATATGATACTCATGCATTGCATGAGTATTTTTTTTCTTTTATTTTTTTATAATGTGTCATAAAGTTTGTATAAACAACTTTGTTAAGCATTAAAAAAAAAAAGAAGTAAATGATTACATAAAATTATTCAAAATATGAAATGTAAAACTATATTCTCCATTAATCAGTTAATCAATCTTGCTCACTTTATTGGTTTTGCCAAAAAATAGGAATTTTAAATGATGATAAAATTCCTATAAAGTTCAAGTAACAATTCAATTTAATTAATTAGAATTTTTTTTTTTGGGACAAAACTAGGGAAAAAGGGAACACCTATCTTTTTTTTATATATTTATTTTATGTATGGGTATCACCTCAGGGGGCGGGATGTAATTTCCGAAACCTCAGGGGGTATCTGTAATTTAGCCAAACCTCGAGGGGTGTATATGTAATTTGCCCTTAAAAAAAAAAAGAAGTAAATGATTACATAAAATTATTCAAAATATGAAATGTAAAACTATATTCTCCATTAATCAGTTAATCAATCTTGCTCACTTCATTGGTTTTGCAAAAAAATAGGAATTTTAAATGATGATAAAATTCCTATAAAGTTCAAGTAACAATTCAATTTAATTAATTAGAATTTTTTTTTTGGGGACAAAACTAGGGAAAAAGGGAACACCTATCTTTTTTTTATATATTTATTTTATGTATGGGTATCAATTAGGCCGAAGTCCCCATCCCCACAATTCTAGATAGTAATTAAATCAAACATAAATTGACATGTTATAAAAAAAAAAAATTCATTATTCTAATAATTAATTTCAAGAATATTTTTTTTATAAAAAAAAATCTATAACAAAAATGAAAAGAGACTAATGCATATGTATCATATTTCATTCGTATTAAAATATTAATCTCTTATTCTATTTTTTATTGTTTTAAAATATTTATTAGTCTCTTATTTTATTTTTTATTGTCCCAAAATATTAGTCAATTTTTAAAAATAAAAAAAAAAATAATAATAGGAATTTACTATGTTGTCATTTTTTTAAATTCATTAATAACATAAAAATTATAATTATAACAATTAATATTTAAAAAATAATAATATTATCAAAAGTTAATTTTTAAAATGTAATAATCATAGTATTAAAAAAAAATTGGATTCCTAAGGAGTATCATTTTACGATTTCGCAATCGAGTTATCTACTTCGCAACGCACCCCCATTGACGTCGATAAACTTTCTCCACCATCACCATCACCATCACCATCACCGCCTTCGACCGCCCGGTCCATCTTCTCCGGCGATCTGTCCCGGCCGGTTCATCCGATCGGTGCAAGCGTGAATTGCTCTCAAGGATTCGAATTTTAGGGTTTGATTTGATTGAATTACACGAAATTAGCACTTGAGTTGAGTTTAAAGATCGATTCGAATTGACAAATTATAGAGGGAATCATACGAGTAAGTTATATTTGTTTGAATTTTGTGCTAAAACATTTTAAATTAGTTTTTGAAGCCATGCGTTTGTGTTACATTTGCATTTGAAGTTAGAAGAATAATTGGTTGAAATTTACTTCTTAAATTCAGACTTTGACATCATAGTATTATTAAATTGATAAGAGGAAGTGCAAAGACTAGGAAAGATTCTGTATATTGTTGTCTCAAACAATGAATTAACTAATATAGGATGACATTTTCTATGCAATTTGGGATTTCATTGTGTTGCTCAATTTGTTGCGTATACTTTGTGCAATAGGAATTTGATGGCACCTGATTCCATCTTCACATAGCCTTTAAAAATGAAACGTAGCGTATGAACTCAATAGATTTTGGAGAAATGTGTTTCCATGACAACATGCTTGTGGATAGTTAGGGTTATCTAGATTTAGATAATTCGGATTATCTGATAGAGTCATGTCAGTCCATCAAGCATTTGAAATGCCCGGACAAAATGGTAAAAAATTTATGGTGCTGATGGAGTTTTCGCTTGATACTTCTTGCTAGTGCTTAGTTACCAATCTCACTGTTTACTTGACTACGATGGCTTGGCTGTTTGAAATTCACCCCAATCTGGTATAACTAAGGATATAGAGAAGCAGATGCTGAAAATTAGTTGATTCTTAAATCCTGTTTTTGTTGTTAGGTGAGGCCAAACACACATGTCCTTGCTGAGTTGATGATTTGTCAGATTGGGATTAGGTTGTGGTTAGCATGCATGGAGATATAATCAATGCACTGGTTTATGTTTAGGATATTAGAAGCTTTTGGTTGCTTAGTGGCGTGTATAAATTACAATGCATAACATGATTGCCTGTAGACAAATCTTAGTATATTGTCAATAGAGATCACTCTGTTGTTAGTCTTAAAAAATTTCCTAAGCTAGTATGTTTTAGAAACTATTTCGCAATCTAGGTTCAATTTTTTCACATCATGCCACTTAGGCAAAAAAAGTGGGCCAACAAAAAATTCTCAAGTGAAGCCTTTACTTTGACAGTGGGCTTTTAAAAGCCTTCACTTTAAGTGGAGGCTTCATGAAAAATATATGAAATTGCTGTTTTGATTGATGATTTTGTGCCACTAAAAAGAGCCTCTACTTTGATCGGAGTATTTTCAAATATATAAAAAAGCCTTTATCAAGTATTTACAATTCTTTTTCTTTTCCTCAAGTATTTACGTGTTTTTTTTTTTTTTTTTTTTTGAGCCTTCATATTGAATAGAGGATTTTAAAGCCTTAAACTGCAATGGAGGCTTTAACTTGAGAATTCTTTTCCACCTATTCTGTCTCCTAGATGATGCGTAAAATGGCAAAACCAACCCTAGATTGAGAAATAGTTTATATCTACGCTAATTTGGGTATTTTTTTCCAAAGATAACAATATTTTGGTCAAGAACCTTGTGAACCAAATCTAAAACCTTGTGAACCATTTCTTGCTTTTCTTGGGAGAGGGCCTCAGAGAGGAGTGCTGACATAAATACTCCATATGTGGCTGAATTGGCCTTTGTTTTACCCATCCTAATTCCTTTATATTTAATTTGAGTTCCACTCTAGGCCTGATGTAGCTCTTTAGCTAGGCCTATAACCAAGCCCAAAAGTTGCTTATGAGGATTGGGTCAATACTCATATGCAGTTCCATGCTATCATCTACTGTCTGTTTATATATATTTGAGTTCGTTGTTCTCCGGGAAAAAAATTCAATACTCAAAGTACTTGTGTGCTGGCAATCTGAGCCAAAAACAGTAAACTTGAGTTTGGCACGGGCCAAAAGATCAATAGTTTTTTTCATTTATTTTTGTTTTTCTTTTTAATAAAAAAAAATGTTAATCGCTAAACCTAGTTTGAGCGCACACTTGACCTCTTGATGTGTTTCAATGTGGACATTGATCAATCTTAAAATGGCTGCTTATGCATAAAGCCAACAAAGCCCATGTTTTAGGCTCCCAAATTGGAAGGTTTCCAAACTTTTAAAGTCTACATGCTATTGTTAAGCCCTATATAGTTTATAGTTTCAACATCTTTTTATTTTTTGGAAAAGAAGGTCCAATCTACATGTTAAAAAGAGAAGGCCCAAAATCAACTATACTGTTGTGTACTGTGATTTCAGTATTTCTATATGACTTTGATAGAAAGGGTATCACATTTTGTGTGTTATTCTTGGTCCATGTGATGCCATTCCTTTGCACACAAAACAAAAAACGAAAAAATGGTGAAAACACATAGAACACCACTTTGTTGCCAGCAATGCTATTGTTAAAGTTGGATTCTACATAATATAACTTGGCATATATGGATGAAGCCCATTTTGGTTTATCTACAGACTTGCAAATTTGGAATTAATACATCTTGTTCCTACATACCACTGCAGAGCTAGAGTTGATGCACGGAGTCTAGATACAGATTAGAGCAGCTCTTCCAAAGTTGTGTCATCGACATTCTCGGCCCTCGGGTGAAGTGGACAAGCGTATTAGAAATTTGTATATCCCAGTGTTCTGGCCTATTGTCAAGTGGTAAGTTGAAGAATCATGGTACGGACCAGGTGATTCAATTTTTTCAATTCCATATAAAGCAATATTTACTTAAGACCATGTTTGATTTGTGAATAAGAGAGCAGAACAGGACTATTTTATCCTGGGATAAAATTATCTCTCATTTGGTTTGACCTTTTGTGACTCGGGATTATCATGGGGACATTTTATCTCACATATGTTAGGATATCTTATCTTATAGGAAAGGTGGGACAAATAATCCCAGGATACTGTTTCCTAATGTAATTCTCAAATCAAACATGAATGCCTAGTGTCAACAGGGAACAAATTTTCCAGCTAACTTTATCTACATTAGCAGGACTTATATTAGCATATTGGGCTAATTACAACTTACCCCATGTCGTTTAGTGCGAAACCACAATACCCCTAGGCCATGTTTGTTTGGGCGGACTGGATTAGCATTCCCATGACTAATAGTCCTAGGATAACTAATCCGTTGGATTATGTATCCTATCTTAACTAATAGTCAAGTGTAAAATAATTAATCCGTACTTCAATTGTTTAACCAAATATCGGATTAATAATTTTATTGGATTATTAGTCCAATCCCAAGCTCATGTCCACCCAAACAAACATGGCCCTAGTGGTCTAAAAATATGCATTGCCTCCCCGTGGTCTGGAGTGGAATGCAAAAGTAACGAAATATATCAAACTTGACAGCATGTATATAACACACTAAATATATGCTAAATATACACGCACTAAATTGAGCGCGTGTGAATCTAGAAAGATACATAAAAACTTTTGTTAAAATTGTGTGATTTATTTTATTTTATTTGAAATGTAGTGCAATTTACCTTTATTTTTTCTATTCTATATGGTGCAACAAATGAGACCCATAAATTTTTAATGTTTTCTATAGTCACTGGGGTCACTTGGTAAAAGTCTAAAAAAATGGCTAGAAGTCTTAATATATTATACAAAAAGTTTAACACGCCCTGGCTAAAGTGAACGTAAGGAGGAGCGAAGAAGGAGAAAGGAGGATTAGAAAATGAAGAGGAAAGAAGAAAAATGGTGAAATTGGTGCAATGTGGAGAAGGAGAAAAAGAAGAGGACAGAAGAAAAGAAGGAATATCAAACGAAAGAAAAGAAAAAAAATGAACCATCGGGGGTGGTGGTTTCGTGGAGAAGGCAGTCCTTTTTATAGGGGTGTGTCAAGTTCGACTTCTGAGGGACGGAAAATACTGGGTTTGTTTAGTTGACTCTTTTTGGAGATTCCACGCTATTGGCTTCTTCCGTGGCATGTGACTGAGCTCCCTTAAGTGTCTTGGTGATAGGTTCATTCCTTTGGGTTAAGTTAAATTTGGCTATAGGGAAGCTGGCAATGAAAATGGCGATGGTGGTTGATGGCTAATAGGTTAGGGTTACTGTTAGGGTTAGAAGTCGGAGATGAGAATATTAAGGAAATAAGTTAGTTTGAATTGAAAAAATAAATATTAAAAATTAGAATAAATTACATTAACAGTTCTTATAGTTTGGGATTCATGTCACTTTGGTAGCTGACTTTCAATTGTGATACATTTGACTATAAATTTTGAATGTTGTTCCAAATAAAGACAATTGAAGATACTATTGTTCAATTTTAAGGGCAAAGTCTTCAATTTGATAAAATATAAACTAATTTGACAAAAATAAATGTCAAAAAAATATTTTTGAATTTTTAAAAATTATTTTTACCTACCAAAGATAAGATTATGTAAAATTAATAAATTTATTTATTTATTTATTTTTATCAAATTAATTTTTATTATGTATTTAGATGATGATCATGTAATGGGTGGTTGTTAGGTTTTGAATGTGTAATCGATATATTTAATATATGAAATTTTTGTAGTTTTAGATTTTTTGATTTAATGAATTGGTTTAATAATAATATTAAAGTTATCGCTATATTTAATTTTTGAAAAATTGAAACTAATTTAATGAAAATAAAAATAATCACCCGTTACATGATCATTATTCAAACACATAATAAAAATTAATTTGGTAAAAAAAATGTGTAAAAGATTTATCAATTTTATATAATTTTATCTTTGGTAGGTAGAATTAATTTTTAAAATTTTAAAATTATTTTTTTAACATTTATTTTTTTCAGATTAGTTTATATTTAATTAAATTGACGACTTCATCCTTAAAATTGAGTAATGGTATTTTCAATTGTTCTTATTTAGAGTCAGATTCAAAATTTAGGATCAAATGTATTACAATTAAAAAATTAGGAATCAAAATGACGCTAACTCCAAACAATAGGACCGTTAGTGTAATTTCCCCCAAAAATTTGTACCTAGTGTGAATTGAATACTAGTGTGAACAGTTGAAAGAAATAGGGTATGTTTGGTTTGCATTTAGAAGATGAGTTTTAGAAAAAAAAATTTAAAAAATTGTTTGGTTTGAGTTTTTTTCAAAAAATTTTCAAAATCACTTTCTGTCTCTTACACATCAATCAATCACTTTTTCTCTCTTTTCTCTCCTCTCTCATTCTCAATTACTTTTTCTTTCACACACATCTACTCAATTTCTCTCAAAATATCAAATCATTCCAAACTTTCAAAAAAACAACTCTCTCAAAATATACAACCAAACAAATTAAAAAAATTTCTAAACTCTCTTCTCAAATTATTTTTTCAAAAATAGCTCTCCCAAAAACAAACCAAACAAGCCCATAGAATCCGTTGAAGATATGCAGAGGTCATTTGATATTTCAATTCCAAGTTTCTAGCCTTCTAGACTGTGAAAATTTTCCAGCCCGCCCACCTCAAAAGAAAAAAACCTGAAAGTGAATGGAGGACAAAATAAAGAGAGACAACTCTTTAGTGAAAAAAAGACTTTTAACAAGAAAGAAAGAAAAGAAAAAATAAATAAAATTAAATGTAGTCATATTTGTCACATTGATGGATGCCGTGGTTTAGAGATTGGCGTGGTCAATACCTAATATTGTAAGAAGTCAGTTAAAAGTTAATTTTTTAAATTTTTTTTAAAAAATATATAAAAAAAATAAAAAAAATGATATGATTTAAAAAATATCAAAAGTTAAAAAATTGATTTTTAGGACTCTTTTGGATAGCGAAATTAAGGTCACATTATTTTTTTTATTTTTTTATGTTTTTTTTTATAAATTAAAAAAATTAACTTTTAAAAATAAAAAGTCTGAATCGTGTTGTCAAAACAAGCCGTAATAATCCAATTAAAAGAAAGAAAGAAAGAAACCTGGGAGTGATTCACACACAACATGATTCATGAGATTGATTCATCAGTCATTCATTCATTCAGTTTGTTTTTGTTTTCGTGTTTGTGGTTATATTATTTTGTTTTGTTTTTAGACGTAAATGTCAGCAAATTGCGTGGGGGACGGGGATTGGGAACTTTCCGCCAATGAAGACTCTTTCTCTAATAGATGTTTCCGCCATTGATGATGGCTTTTGGTTGTTGCAGGAAACTTCCCAGGTAATTTCTTCTTCTGCTGCACTTGTCATCCTTTCTTTCCAACAAACCAACGTCAAGGTTTTAATAATTTTCTACTATCCCAACTAGTAATGAAAGTACAGAGTTTAACTATGCCCGATGAGTCTGACACGACGACTAATCTATGGCTTGGAGTCTCCAGCACGAAAATACGGACGTGGGGTCTGTGCTGCCGTGCCCCTTTGTAGAAGTTTGTTTTGAATAATTTTTTTCTTTTTTTTAAAAAAAAATTTGAACCATTCATGTTGTTGTAGTGTTTATCAAAAATATTATTCATGTAAAAAATTAAATTAATCGGATATTCATAATCCTATGATTAGGTCTTAATTGTTTTTTAAAATTTATAAAAGTTATTTTAACTGTTAATTTTTATAAAAACAAATGTGTTTTGGTTATAGAGCTGTAGATATTCAATTAATTTGATTTTTTACAGTAATGATTTACTCGACGAACTTTATAACATGAACCGTTCAAATTATCGAAAGAGGCTCAAGATGACACTCCACAAAGGAGGACAACAGCCATCTGCGCCAAAAGGCACAATAGTATCCTCAAATCCCGAAAATACAGGTGTAAGTTACACATTTTACCATATGGATAGTGTTTGAGACCCTCTCCAAAAGAGGACTCCCACAACCTCCAACCATCCATGTGTTTGAATTTTTTTTTTGCATCTTTGATAGTGACGTGAATGTTTCAAATTATTTTGGAGACTGTGAGAGTTGTGTTTTATAAGAATCTCTATCATTACTATTTACTGTACCTCTCGTGTAGATGGAGCACCTGCCAGTGCCAACCCATCCCAAAAAAGATGAAACAGTTGATTTTCCGTGAAATGCATGCATTCTTGGATTACAGCAATACATAGGATTTTTGTATAGAAATTATCAAAGTTTTTAAAAATTGTTACAACATTAGTAAAAAATAGATAAAAAAACAATCCTGCTGCATACCCCCAGTGGGGGTCGCACCCCCAGTGAGGTGTCACGCCCCCACTGGCCGAAACCCCAAAAAAAAAGAAAAGAAAAGAAAAAAAAAAAAAAAAAAAAAAAAAAAAACAGTTTTTTTTTTGTCCAATTATGGACTGCCACCTCACTGGGGGTCGACTCCCAGTGAAACATTTTCCATAAAAAAATAACTATAATTATTAATGTTTATCACTTTTTTGGAGTAATTATTTTTTTTAACAATAACTGTTCTGGTATTTGCCCAATTTTATATAAAGTGATGTGATTTTTTATGATCCTTTGTTCTCGTGCATTGTTTAATATTAGGAACAAATATGTCATAGACCCCAAATGAATATGAATCATATATGTGTTTTTGGGTAATTTTTTAATATTTTTTTTTGAAATTTGTAATATATATATATATATATATATATTTTTTTATGTTGTTCTGTACTCAAAACGACGTCGTTTTGGCCATTTGAGCCACTTTTGAGCCACAAAATTTGAGCTACGTAGCATTGTCGCATGCATTCATGTTTGTATTATTTATTTATTTATTTATTTTTCTGTTTTACTGTGCAATTATTTTTTCTGTTTTGTTTTTTTTTAAATCAAGTCAACTGAAAATATCATTCATGTCACGTCGTAAAACAGACAAGAACTTTTATATATGATAATAACATTGTGGATTTGATTATCATAAATATATCATAATTTAATCTTATAAAGTCATAACTAAGAGAGAGAAGAAAAAAAAAAGGAGTGATTACCAAATGCTAAATAAGTTATAATCAGAGAATTTTTTGAATCATAATTAAAATAAGATCATAATTAGAATTGTATATGATATGGTACACACCCAAAAGCATAATAACAAAATTTCCCCTTATATATTAATTATGGCAACTGTTAAGAAAGTCATGCGTTATTTATTATTTTTCTTTCTCATGTGATCTAACGGAGAAAAAACCAACCCAGCTAAATGTCAAGTTTTGATAATTACATTTTTGTTGGAGCAATGGATATTAACAAAATCGTTCTCTTGTTTTCCTTGAAACACCACCAGTACATATTAGTCACGCCACCAGTACATATTAGTCACGAGCAAGGATTCTCTAGAGTGATTTTTCTCTAAAGTTTCTTAGAGTGCTACATTATGTGGTTGAGATTTACTGGCAATGATGTGACTTGCCATGCCAGTAAATCTCAACCACACAATGTAGCACTCTAGGAAATTTTAAAAAAAATTCACTCTAGAAAATCCTTGGTGATTAGTCACCTGATCATCGAAGACATGATTGGTTGTAGTCTCTCTCTGTTCTGTACCCGTGACTCTTTCTTTGTTTTGCTTTAGTTTCCAATGAATGGAATAAAATAAAATAAAATAAAATTTGTTCAATCAAAAAGGATGGGAAGAATCTACACAAAACAGAAACGGAAATTACAAATAAGTGTGGAACAGTTATACAATAATTATACCAGAGATATTTTTTTAATGCAATCCTGACATACTAGAATAGAAAGACTTGTATCAAATAAAAGAATTTTTTTTTTTTAAATACAAGAAATGATTACATCATACACAGGAGACTTGATCAACATCCAAGCAAATTAACTCTATTTGGGTTGATTTTTAGAATTATTGTTTTTAAATAAAAAAATTATTTAAAAAATAAAAAAACACTATCATTTTTATATGATTTCATCTGGAGGTAAAAATAATTCTTGAAAAAAATTGAAGTTTTTTGTTTTATTTTTTATTTTTTATTTTTTTTTTCAATTCAAATATTAAAAAAAAAAAAACAAACAAAGAATATGTCAAATGACCGATGCTTTTGAGACACTATGTCATTTAATTGGTTAAGGATTTTTTGTTTTCAAATTTTATTATTTTCCTGTCTTTGATCATCTAACAACATTGGATATATTTCAGATTGTTTCATAAATCTAATTGTTATAGATGATTTAAAATCGGGGTTATAGAATTCCTAGCCCATTTAATTAGCCCAGATGATTGGACTATAGACTAAATAGGTTATTTTAGATCATCTATAACAAAAGGTAAAATAGATTATTTTAACCAAAACAAACAAAACATCACATCCAACCTATAATCATTACATTCTTCTCTTACAAAAAAAGTCAAAAAAATCAAAAAACTAAAAAGTCCTTCCCAACCTAAGCTTTTTAGCCCAAGTTAAAATAGCTAAAAAAACTAAAAGGCTAAAAAGTCAATCCACTTTCCAAACGGAGGCTTATTATAGTCAAAAAGTTTTCTTTCTTTTGTTACTTTTACAAAGTTTTACAAACAAAATGATTTATTTTAGGAGAAATTACAGGTCATAAGAATAAAAATAATTACAAAAGTGTTGGGAGTGTAACTTTTTTTATGAAAAAATTCACAGGAAAAGTTGCACCATCACCATTATATGGTGTTTTGAAAAGTTGATTAAAAATTAATTTTTAAAATTTTTCTTTTACTTTTTTTGTGTTTTTTTGAATAAAAAAATTTGAGACGTAATATAACTCAGAATGAATTAAAAGGCTTTTAACCAACTTCTCAAATGAGTCATATGTAATTATTTTCTCCACTTGCAACTATCAAGTAATTTCCCCCTTTGTTTTAATCATTATAAAAGTTAAAAAGTTATAAATGTTTTAAGGCATCAGTTTCTTTGTTGGCGTTAATTTATTAACTAATGTTTATAAGTTATTGTTTGAAATTTCTAAAAAAAAATTCTGATACGTTAGTTATCAAATTTTAATCTATCATATACTCAAATATATAAAATTAAATTCCTCTACAAAATTTTAAGTTTAAACTATTAGCCTCTAGCATTTTTGTCATACTCATTCCGTTTCAAAATATTAGTTTCTTATTCTATTTTTTATTGTCTTAAAATATTAATTTATTTTTAAAAATTAAGGATTAAAATAATATGAATTTTTATTTTATCATTCTTTTAAATTTATTAACAATATAAAAAGTATAATTATGACAATTGATATTCTAAAAAAAATATATTATCAAAGAATAATTTTAAAAAATTAATATTTTTAAAATATAATAATTATGTTATTAAAAAAATTAAATTTCTTTAAAAAAATTATTATTTTACGACGGAAGGAGCACTTACCCGTGAAAGTGAACAAAGATATGCGGGGGGCCACTCACGCGAGTGGAAGCCATATAAAAGAACAAAAAAATGCGCCGGACTCCCAGTAAATGCCACCTCCACCGACCTCCAGTGTCACGTGGCACTGCGAGATTGAAAAAAAAGAAAAAAAAACACAAAAAACTGACCAATGGAGGCCCACTACGTCACTGGGGTCGACCCCAGTGGAGTCTGTAGCAGCACTCATAAAAGAATTCGAAAATTACCCTTATTTTTTTATTTTTTATTTTTTATTTTTGGTGTGCGTATGTGTGTGATTCAAGAGAAAAAGTAGCAATAGACAGTAAACAAAAAAAAAAAAAAAAAAAAAAAAAAAAAACAAAACGCATGATAGTAGGCCCTAACACTTGACACCCCCAACAATATCTGCAATCATAATTTCGTCAAAGGGGTCCTCAAATACTAGGTTTTCAAGATGATTGATCTCATACACTTGAGTTTTATTTGGCATTGATTAATATAATTAATTTTTTTATGTTAAAATTTTTTTAATCTCGTTTAGTTTAGATTTTTTAATTTTTATGAAAGAAAAAATATAATGATTATGAGTTGAATGTGATATTTTGTCGTATTAATTTATTTATTTTATTTTGTCATTTTGTGTTTTTTTAACTCCAAAATGATAGTCAAAACAGGGCTTAGAAAATTACTCAACAATGACTTTTAGTGTAAAAAATTAGCAATAGATTTTTTTTTTATTGTAGCAATAGATTGTAAGGATTTGGAAATTACAACAGTAGTTGAGAGGAAAAAAATAATTATTGAGACATGGTTTTATATTTTGATGACCAATATATATATATATATATATATTTTCTTCACTTTTATTTTCCCGGCCAAGATACAAAATCATGTTTTGATAATTATTTTCTTATTCTTCCTTAAGTGTGTTTGGTTTTAGTTTTTTGAATTCAATTTTTTTTAAATTAAATTTTTTGTTTTTTGTATTTTTTGTTTTTAGTGAATATTTTTTAAATTTTAAGTAATTTTTTTACTTTTTTAGATGCACCTTACTTAGATATATCTAAATAGTAAAATATGTGTGAAAAAATATTTTAAAAATTAATAAATATATATGGGCAAATTACAAACACCCCCCTCGAGGTTTGGTGAAAATACAGATTCCCCCCTGAGGTTTGAGAAATTACATCCCGCTCCCTGAGGTTTATATTTCCATAACAAATTACCCCCTGAGGTTTTTATTTTCATACAGATTCCCCCCTAATATGTTATGCAAATTTGACCTCCAGGGGGTAATTTGTAATTTCTCAAACCTCATGGGGGAATTTGTATTTTCACCATACCTCGAGGGGGTGTTTGTAATTTGCCCAATATATAAAAATATGAAAAATGTACTGAATCTTTAAATAATTTTTTCACAAATATTATACTTTTTAAGTGTATTTATGTTAGGTGTGTCTAAAAATTATAAAAATTACTTAAAATGTTAAAAAAATTCATTGAAGACAAAAAAATATAAAAAATAAGAAAGTATAATTTTTGAAAAATATTTTTTAAAAACCAAAACCAAACAAGTTGATTGTTATTGTAGTTTTCAAATCATTTTCACTAATTGGTAATTCTTGCCTCAAAAGCCATTGTCCGGTAATTTTCCCAGTACTTTTTTTTTGGGTTGCTTGTTTGTTTGTTTGTTTTGATATGTGCATTCACGGGACTAGATTACTGCATTCTCGAAAATGATGTGACATAGGGTTGTTTTGGTAAGTTGATAAAAAA